CCCCAAAACCCCAAAACCCCAAAACCCCATAAAAGGGTTAAACTATTGAATGTTCATCAATAAAATGGGTAAACTCATATGAAATAAAAGATCTTTTCGAGCACTCTCTTTATATAACTCTTGTGAAATAATTACTCCTTTGGATAGTCTGACTCATCCTTGTATAGACAATCAGATAGACTTCAATAAGATTAAGAGAGAATATGGTAAACTTAGTAAAGGATTTGTGTAGACAACTATTCTCACCAAACACTCTATAAACCTGCTCACTTGATTAGCAACTCCAGGCCGATCCTTAACATAAGAATAGAAGATAGCAGTAGAAAGACAAGTGAAGAAGAAGCCCTTAACATGGAAAATTGTACTGAGATATTCGGTAATTTGGCTAATAAACGGCCAGATTTGAAACTAAAACCGCGTGTCGTAATTTTTCATCATAACTGAAATAGAAGAGTAAACACTTGAAGTTTAAACCAAGATCTAGTAGGGACCATGGTTACCATAAATTTAGAGTCGTTTCAGATATTTAACCCTCTGATCAGAAGTTCTCATAAATCAGATTCTTCTTCTAAGTCTCCATATTCTCAAAAATCACTGGCTAAAAATTCCAATGAGATGAGTTCGGTCTTCAAAAATTTGAAAAAGTGCCAACCTGCAAACTTTGCTAAAAGTTGTTACAATGGAAGAGGGCTCTGGATGTCCCCTCCTGGTAGGAAGCATCAACATTCAGTAGACTCCTCAATAGGAGTCAGGAAGAGTAAAGATTTGATTAATATCAACACCATGCATATAAAATCAAATGAGATTTTAGACAAAAGCTGTAAACCCTTAAGAATTCCTTCAATAGCATCAATTAAGCCAAGCCGAAAGATTTCTAAGGTTATTCCAGAAGAGGAGAAAGTCTCTAAGGGTGAGATTGCAGAGAGGCTTAAGAAAGGGATCAGAGAATATCGAGAAAAAGCGAGAAATTTTAAATCTACTAGCCTTACACAAGAATCTGGTAATTAAAATCGTTTTGATGCGCAACACTTGTCACAAAATTTCAGATAATCCCTTGCATAGCTATTTTGTAAAATAATTTTGTTTCATGTTTTAGGACAATATCAGGGCAAATTAAAATGGTGTCCCTTTGAAAAGAGTCTTCTCCACCTCAGATTTTTCTGAGGCTCATAGTGGCTAAATCTTATCCTATATCCCATAGAGAGGTCATTAGAGTAAAATTTTGGCCCTTCGTCACTCTATGACTTTTAGTATGATATCATTACTTCCTAAAGTTTTCAGAAATTCTTGGTTAAACATATGTATTTTGTATCTTTCAGTAATTCCGAATTTTGGTGGCATTCAAAATTCTTGGTTAAAATTATCAAAAATTGTAATGTTTCTACTCACTGAGCGTGTTATTGCAAAGCAAAAGTTATTGTGAGGAATTTGATACCTCCAAAATTAATCCTCCTAACATTTTATGAGGAGAGATTTTAACATAAAGCACATGGCAAGGCGGGATACACTTTATGTTTTTTTGAATCAGTCAACCTTATGGCTTGCCTCACCCTTTTGTAAAGCAGAAAAGAGAAGAGTGTCCATCAAGAGCATCATTGGAAGAAGAGTATGACTCAAAATGTTGATCAATTATAGAATTTAACTGCCTTGCCTCGAAATTTAACCAAAAATTTAAACTCTAAACTCCTTATAAAGAGGGAAGAGGAGAAGAGTTCTGAAAACAGCATATCAAAAGAACCGAGGGAAAGCAGTATAGGAGGTGATCTCTTGTTAACTTCAAATATTTCATGGCCTTATATCCTTCAGACTATCATTACATCTGTTCTGACAAAAAATGAGACGTCTAAACCTAGGTGCTCTTTAGACAAAGTAAATGTCGGATGTCTTCTTAATCTCGGATCAGAGATTGAAGAAGAGACTATTGATCTTTTTGATTCCCTCTCACTGGAGGATATCACTCTAAGATGGGTGAAGTATCAGATCCAACAAACAAAGACTTCTCTATTAGAGAAGATAGAGGATCTGAAAAATAAATACCATGGTTGTGCAAATCCTGTTGAAAGATCCCCTATTGGTAAAAATATTCAGAATATTACGAAACTGGCTTATTTATGAGGTGTTCAAGAAATTTCCTCTTTCAGAGACCTTGAGAATATACCTGAGCTAGTGTTGTGAGTACTTTACCAAATTGGGTTTAAGAAACTGGTTAAAGTATTCAGGAAGACCATCCCGAGTAAGTCTATGTAAATTTAATGTATCTATAGCGAAATGCCAATGAAGCCATATTTGTTCACATCGGAAAGACCAGCATGTTGCAATTGAGATTGAAGATATACTTAAAATCGATTCAATGAGAGACAAGAGTCTTCTTTTGAAGAAGATATCTTTTCCTGATTTAAGAAAAGCAACAAAGCTACTATGATTTGATCCAGAATCTATCGATATCGAAAGAAAATGCATTAGTAGGGCTCCAATTTGATCTATAGCTTTGAAGAATGTTTGACTACAAAAATAACGCTACAATCCCATCAAGCAAGCAACTCTTTATGAAGATGTTATACCTTCTACTGTCTCCAGAATACTGTCAACTTCCTCAAATGTCAGATTTGCGATCAAGAAAATCTCTAGGGGAAAGATCTCTAAAGTCATATATTCTTTCATGGTTTTCTAAGAATCTGTAACTTATCAAAATCTACCTTTAAAAATTTAAAATATTTTCTTTGTGGTTACTTTTTCAGTCCCTAAAATTACCCATTACTCCCCAAAAATTTGAATAGAGCTCCCTGGCTCTGCACAAGGAGGCTTATGATTCTCTGAATAGTGTTGTAGAATAGATCTTCATCATGATTAACCAAGAACTTTATCAAAGGAGTAGAATCGGCTTATTTCAAGACATCTCGAGCCTCATGGGGTTTTGGGGTTTTGGGGTTTTGGGGTTTTGGGG